TGGCTGAAGTGCAGAAAGCTGAATTGGACTCCTCAAGGGGCTTTGCAGCCACACCCAGCATGGAGCGCAGCACATCTTCCTCCGGCATCGCATCTTGAACTACAGGCAAGAAAAGATCCATCGCCCGGCGAAGCCGGCTGCTGTGAAACGGGACATTTACAGGAAGAGGAACAAACCATGACTTTTTTTTTAGCCCACTTCGTCCATCCTCCTGAAGAGTCAGATGCGTTAGTTCCTCCAGTGATGGCGTGTACCCATCGTCTGGACCCCGCAAAAAGCGACGAAACGTCGAGCGTACACCGTATTTTTTCACGGATGACGTTACGAAATCCGGTAAAGGCCCCTTATTGGGGTGCATCGTGACACCATCCTTTTTATCCTGCCAGACGGACGACACGGCTGTGCGTGCAATGTGATCCAAAGAAGAGGATGGGCCACAAACACTCGCTCGAAACTGCGGATCCAGACATTTCCCCAGAGCGGACAGCCCCACTCGATCTCCCGCAACAACATACTGCTCGTGATCAATGTTATAATTTACAACCTCCACGAATGAGGTTGTAGCGGAAAGAGCTCGAGCCACGAGCTCCACAAGTACGTGAAACTGATCGACCGCAACATCCAAGTCCTCTTCGCAGAGTTTCGCCCTTCCGGGATGACAGGCGTACATGACGTAATCATCACGATTTGCTGAAAACTGCTCAAGAGCGTAATCCATTAAGACTCCACGCTTGTATACAAGATCAACCGCGACTTCAGGTGAAAAAATACCTAATGCACACAGGGCTGAAAATTCTCCAAGACTGTGACCAGCAATGACAAGGGCAGATTCGACCGAATACCCCCGTGTCGAACGGAGATACTCCAGTGCTAACATATGCGCTGCCAACATGCATGGTTGTGTTAAAAACGTCAGCGACATGACCCCTTCTTGGGATGAAAAAAACTTTTTCCGCGGAGCTGACTCAGCCACGTTTCGATCCTCCAAAGAACCTCTTTTGCAAATTACACTTACGTCCAGTGCGTCATCGCGCACATGTATCTTTTGTGGGTTCACTGTCATGACCTCCTGTAGAGAAATGCCATATTTCTGCATCATCTGGTCCTTCATCTTTTCCCAGAGTCGAGCAACCGCGGGAACGCGCAGGTATTCCATAGACATTCCCTGGCGATGGGCTCCCTGGCCAGAAAAGACTAACGCGCGTTTCATTCTCGTTTCTTCAGCAATTCTCTTTTTTCTTGTTGACCTATTTCCTTACACGTACACGCGCGCAAACCGAATGCGACGATACCTTTGGTAAAATGTGAGTCTGTACTATTATCACAATGTAGAAAGCAGGTAGGGCAAAACGCAGCAAAAAACATACTGAAGTACCATTAATAGAGCATTATGTGAAAATGCCAAGATATTTGCAAGGTTCTTTTTAAATATCATGCGAGGGGATAGATAGATGGATAGAAAAAACTTTATACAGGCCCTCCTTCAACTTAGTTGAGATAGGGGGGCATCACAGTAGCATGAACCTTTTCGTCGCTCAACAGTATAGAAGCGCACAAATCCCCGACCCTTGTGTTCCACTACAACACGCCACGCGTCCACATCGATGGGTGTTGGCTCAAACAACGCAGTCGGTGATTCTTGCGTTAATCCTGCCTCTTCTCTTCCTCTCCCACTTCTAGAAAGACAAAACTCGGCAGATGGGAGATAAACACAAGAGATAATTCGATCGTCCAACAAAGCCAAAAGAACTGCCCGTCGATGCCACGGACATATGCAGAGTCTCCGCACTTCCTGTGTTCCCATTGGATGCATCGTTTGCCCGGCCGAAAAATACTGTAGAAATGTGCCTACAACACTTTCTGTAGCACCACAGATCCCCAACGTAAATCCCTTTTCCTCATCCTCAACCTCAACATGGGCCACAAGAGAAAACTCGTCATCTCCGCGAACAGTCCAAGGGGAGTAGCAGTGAATCGACCCTGTTTCTGGCTGATTGGGTGGCCGGAATATGTGAAGAAAGTCACCCCCATCACAACTGTAGGAGCGTAAAGGAAAGGGGGGTTCCTCATCAGCATAAATACTCGCAGTCTCTTCCCCAAAAGCAGTAGAATAGCAAGAAGAACCTGTCGTACCTCCACCATCGATGTGAAGGCGTCCCAAAGGGAAATCACCATCTGTGACATCATCGATGGACCCAGGTGCTAAACCGCCCATAAAACATCAAATCACAGGGCAGACCGTGACGCAAAAAGTAAATTTATTGGCTTGCAAAAAAAAAAAATAGCAACAACAATGAGAGAGAAAAAAAAGAAAAAAAACATGCGTCGCCATCTACGACAAAACATCAGCAGCAAAATGATGGTTTCATTGCTACTGCTAAAGAAAAATGGCTAGTTGTCAGCCTCATAAACCCACAGCAAAGACAACAAAAAATAAATCAACTTCGCACGTTAAAAGAACGTACAGGAACGGGCACCGGCACCCCGCTGCTGCCACCAAGAGACGACTTCTGCTGGACGTCCGTCCCCGCCGTCGATGTGCCTCCCACTACCGGCTGGGTCGCCTGAGGAACAGGCACCGGCACCCCACTGCTGCCACCAAGAGACGACTTCTGCTGGACGTCCGTCCCCGCCGTCGATGTGCCTCCCACTACCGGCTGGGTCGCCTGAGGAACAGGCACCGGCACCCCGCTGCTGCCACCAAGAGACGATTTCTGCTGGACGTCCGTCCCCGCCGTCGATGTGCCTCCCACTACCGGCTGGGTCGCCTGAGGAACAGGCACCGGCACCCCACTGCTGCCACCAAGAGACGATTTCTGCTGGACGTCCGTCCCCGCCGTCGATGTGCCTCCCACTACCGGCTGGGTCGCCTGAGGAACAGGCACCGGCACCCCACTGCTGCCACCAAGAGACGACTTCTGCTGGACGTCCGTCCCCGCCGTCGATGTGCCTCCCACTACCGGCTGGGTCGCCTGAGGAACAGGCACCGGCACCCCACTGCTGCCACCAAGAGACGACTTCTGCTGGACGTCCGTCCCCGCCGTCGATGTGCCTCCCACTACCGGCTGGGTCGCCTGAGGAACAGGCACCGGCACCCCGCTGCTGCCACCAAGAGACGATTTCTGCTGGACGTCCGTCCCTGAATTAATTATAACTGAGTGTGGCGGCCATGGTGAATTGGAGGCAAGACTAGCTGTGATATAAGAGGAGTCCGTTAGATTGTCGTAGACAGTTACCCTATTTGCGGCCCCTTGGCCCACCAAAGAATTTATTGTGTGGACTGGTGGAGATGAAGAAACAGCTCGAAGGTTAAACATTGGTGAGGGATTGTACCCATATTCAGTAGCGGCTGACACTGTTTGTCCATCACTCTTAGACGGTGATGATGGCAAGGGAGTATCAAAGGAATACCCTTGTGGGGAAGGCACTGATGGCTTTGGATCAAAAACATTAGGGTTCGGAACGGCTTTTGATGTCGATGCCGTCAAAGTAGAAAAGGGCGTGGCCAACAACTTGGATCCTGCCGTAGATATAGAGAAGGCACTTTCAACTGTAGAGCTTCTTCGCCGTGTGGATCGTCCACCGGATGACAATAGTGAGGAGGAAGATTCGCTGCTACTGCTACAGCTGTTAAAGTGAGAGGAATACGTTGTCTTTGACGACTTCGAATCAGCTTTCTCATCACTATGGTTTCTATCTATCGTTGACTGCACAATAATGTTGATACATTTTGTCAATTCTTGAACATCTGCGCATAGCTTTTTGATGAACTTGACATGCTGACTATGTAGGGTAGATACCCGCACATCCAGTGCCCGACAGTAAAGGGTTGTAATATGATGGAGATTCATTCCAAGACACTGCAATTGAAAGAGCACCTGATACGTGAGAAAATGGGCCACACTTCCCTCGCGTGGGAGGGGCAACTCATTTACAGGTTGTCTGCGTCCGTGAGCTTCCACGGGTGTGCTTGTGTGTTCCTGTTCAGATGACTCGGCAAGCTGATTGGCCAGCTGGATCACAACATTTGCGGATTGTAAGATTCTCTGCACCACACAATCGGCCTTCTCCGTCATAGGTTTTGTCTTCGCATTCACGTTAACTGCGTCTAGGGGCGTAAATTCCCGCCTCAGTGTGGCGTAAAGCATCTCGCAATTTGACTGAATCTGACACGCCACGTCATAATCCAGAATATAAAGAAGCGTTTTCTTCTTCGCAGTTGAACCCCTTTTTGTTTGGTCAAATCCATCCGCATTCTCTAGTCGACAATCACCTGTTCTTTTCTCTTCATTTTTTTGCGTCGGTGTGCTGTCAACCGCAATGACAGCTCCTGACGACGGTGATTTTTCGGGTGGGGAATCCTGATGGCCATACTGCTTCCTACGGTGACGACGTTTATTCCCCTCCCTGACGTCGGTGCCGTCCAGAACCACGCGAATAACAAAAGGCTTTCCGTTGACCGTCAATTTGGCACTCGGTGTGAACGGTGGCGCCGGGCCAGAGACGACGGAAGCAGCGATGGCTCCTGGAACCACCGAAGAAGAGAACATCCTTTCGTCAATGTGAACAACACGACAGGACATCTCCGCAAAACCCATCGTCTTACCGGCACTGTCACACATGGCGTAGTTGCCGTGACGACGGCCCTCAGCTGCTTGCGCCGTCAACACCGGGCATGGGCATACCCATGACACCGATGCCTGCCGCTGCCCCTCGTCGTACATGCGGCAGACGCACTGAGCAGGAAACATTTCTCTACATTCATCGTCATTCAGGCAAAATTCGGCCTTGTGGCACACGTTGTACGTTAGCGAGAGAATGCCATCGCCCGTGGAGGATCGCACAACGACACCGCCACCACCGCTGATATGTGGCCGAATAAAAATCTCCGGAAAGCTTGAGAAACGCACAACAAAAATAATCCTCGCCGAGGAACTCATGTTCACAAGACCATGAAGCCTCTTAACGGCTATCTCTAAGCGGTATCTTCGCCTCTGTGACGACATCCTTTTTCACCACCGAAAACAGCAGACAGCGACGATCTATTCCCTTCTTGTTGGGCTCCCAACTATGTCCACTGACGGTTTATTCCACACAGTCAGCTGCGCCTCCAGAAAAATTCTCAAAAACAAAACAAAACAACAACAACAACAACAACAACAAAAACACCTAAAATAAAATAAAACGCCAAGGACCCGGAGTGCCCACTGCCTTCCCCTTGAAATTTGTTTTCAATCTCTGATAGAAGAAAAAAAACCAAACCATAGAAAAGAAGTAAGAGAAAACCAATAAAAGAGAGCAAAAATAAACTGGAAAAAAAAACAGCCACACAAATTAAACGATTGCAACTTGAAGTAGGCTCCAAAAAGGAGAAAAAATATTTAAATACCAGACTAAAATGAAGAATGCGTGCCCACAAATATATAATTAGCCATCCCTGAGAGCAATTCATACAAGCCATGGTGGGTTCAGCCTCAATGTGGCTCAGTACTGGACGGCTAAAGGTCTTCATTTGGGTTGTTGTCGTCCTCCTTCTTCTGCTTGTACTTACCGCGGTGGTACAGTTGGTCTACCTTGTCCTTGAAGCTAATGCGTGCGTTTGGTACACTCCCGGCTGCCAATTCAGGTTTTTGCATCAATACTTCCTGGGTCGGTATTGCAGCCTTGTCACGAATGCGACCTCTGCTTGTCGCAATCTCCCCACGCTTGACAATTGAGATTGAGCTTTCACCGTCCTTAAGGCTCTTCGCAGACATTCTGGCAATCATTGCATCCTGTTGCTCCTGCAAAGCATGTGCCTTGTCCAGCTTGCCTTTCTTGCGACGCCTCATCGGCGCACTCGTGTCCGCAGGTGGTGCGGTAACACCACCAACAGAGCCAGAAGCGGAGCCGCCGTCGGTCTCGCTTAAAGCCGGCCGACGGGATATGGCCTTTGAGCCCGTTTTACCGCGGTCAATATACATGCGGCGACTAATTTCACGCTCGTTGTCTGTTTCCTCCATGCTGCGTGCCACCCGTGTGTCCTCATCCCGCTGCTCCTCTTCACGGGAAATGTCATCAATCGTTTCAGAGAGCGCTCGTGAGTCATCCTCAAGCCATTCTTCTAGACTTTCCTCCCTCGCACTTGCCATGGTGCGCAGCAACTGCTCCTCCACGCTGACAGAAGTGCTCTCGTGAGGCTGATGGGGTTTGGCCGTAGACTCTGGGTGCTCTGAGACGTGGTTCGTGAGGAGACTCTCGGGAACCTCCACAATATTTCCCTCGCGATCCTCAACCAAAGGCATTTGTCCAACAAAGTTCAACGGGTACGCCTCACTCTTTCCAGCGACGTACTTGTCCAACTCCCTCTCAATATGCTCCTGGACCCTTGACTGTGGAATGTACTGAATAAGATTCATGCTCTGCAGCCGCTCACTGGCGCGCTCGTACCAAAAGAAGAATTGTCTCTCGTGGAATTCGCGCAGTAGGTCCAAATGTTTCTTCTTGAGGGCTTGACGTCCTTCCGTCATTTGCTTCGCCTCCAGCCGCTTCTTTTCCTGTGCCTGCATCTCGTACTCCCACTGAGCAAGTTGGGCTGCCTTTGTGATGTTGTACTTGTATATGTACTCATCTGCATTGACACGGAAGGACTCAAGCCACTGGCGCTTGTATACTTTTCGTAGATGCTCAAACTGCGCCTCGTGGACATTGCGCCACAACTCATTTTGTTTCCACATCCAATGGCGGTAGGGCGTAAGGAACCCCGTCATCTTTCGCCCGTGATCCGATTTGGAGGGGAGATTGTAGTACGGCCGTAGCTGCCGCCGACACCCCCGCGAGCAGCGCATCATGGCCCAAGATTACTAAAACAAAAAACAACAACAACAAGAAGGAAAAAAACAAGAAAAATAGTCGTAAAAACAAGAAGTGCACATATACGCACACACACAGAAAAAGAAAATTCGCCCCCCCCCCCCCCCCCAAAATGCGCTTACTTGTTTCCCTCTTATTCCACGAGTAGATTTTACTGCATCCACGTACAATCCCGCACAGACAAGTCTTAGAAACATTTCAAACACCTTCCACACCACCAGCCGCAGTCTGACCAAGAAAAAAAATTACAACAAGATGTATGTATGTATATATATATATATATATGGTAATAACAACAAATTCAGAATGGGACAAAAAAATGTAAAATATTAGGACTTTTGTAGCAAAATGTAATTGCTATTTTTGTTTTACGCAGCAGGTGGTGACAACAACCGAGCTGCACGTTTCCCCAGAGCCTGTTTGACTAATTCGTATCCTTCCGGTGGATCTGGTATACGTAGGTGAATGGCTTCCATCAACAAATCCGCGTTCCCCTCCGCGGCCTCCGGAAATGGAAACATGGCGGCGAGTAGATCAGGGTGCTCCGGCTGCACTTTGATGTCACCAATTTCCCTGAAATACTCCACCTCGGTATTCTCCTCTACTATTTCCACCTGCTGTAGCAAGATATCCGTGAATACAGCACGCTGACGCACTTCTCCCCAACGTTTTAGAAGAAGTTCCCTCTCTAATTGAGAAGCCCGTTTATCAGTCTCTAAATGGTTATGTATCAAGTGCTCCGCGGATCTGGCATCGTTGCCGTAATATCCATCGGACTCCCTCAAATTCCCGTATGCGTTGCTTGTCACACCACCACCGCCACCAGACCCCATAAAGTAGCTGCTTTCGTAATCAAAGTTCCCATTCAACGCCTTGTTCATGTTCAGGTGCGATTCCTGCTCCAGGGCACCTGCCTCGTTGCCGTCACCCGTGACGGGGGGCACAGGCCCACCACACTGTCTAAAGCTTCCACCGACTAAAGCTCCATCAAAATCCCTGCGTAATGCGTGGAGGCAATCGGCACACACCCGCACGGGCACATGAATTCCACGCATCGGAATACTGCAGCTAAAATTTGAACAGTTTCCACAAAACACATAGCCGCAATTACGACAGTGATGACGCCGTGTGCTAATGGAGAAATTGACAGCACACGAATGGCATGATGGAGCCTCAGAATCTCTCTGCCAGCGTTCGCCCTTGGAGCCATTGTTTCCCATCCTTGCTTCTTGCTCAGCGTTCTCCTAAAGGAATTCTGTCCCGCTTGATTCCTCGGTAAACAACAAAAGGAACAAAAAAGAAACCGCAGCCACATATGCATACAACACAAGACAGCGTGACCGTCCATCTTCTTTCAAAAATAACAACAACAACAAAAAAACCACTTGCATATGCATGCATGCATTCATGCAAAAGATATAATCTTGCTTTTTCCTCAAAATAGTTACAGGAACGACACATTTAACCACTTGTCCTTTGCATCATACGCATCAGAACTGCTTGTGCTTGAAAAATTTAAAACTGAGGAAGACCCCTTCACAAAATAGGGCACATTTTTTACATTCCCCTGGCCTAAATTTGACGGTACACGAGTTCCCCTGTTACTGACCGAGACATCTATCGGCCCGTTCGGCGGGCGGCACCGCAGCGCTTGAGACCCTGATAATACATCCAAGTCCAAGTTAACCGCGGTTGCCCGCTGCTCGGGATGCACATGGTGCTGAATTCCATGAGGAGCGCCATGCTGGTCTAAGCGTTGCCCACCGTCAGACGTCACTAATTTCTGCTCCTTTTGCGGTCGTGGGCGCAAGGGGGTTCTCATCAGCATCACAGCAACGGCGTCGTGGTGAGTTTTCTCCAACTCGTCAAGGTCTGCAAGAATAGACCGCGTTGTTTTCCTCGCTGTGTCAGCTGGCGCCTCTTCCATACCTTTTGTCCTCAATTCGTCGTTTTTCTTGTTTTCCTCTTCACTTTTCTCCTTTTCTTCTTCAATTTCTGATTTCTGACATTTATTCTTCTGCATGGCGTGGCACACACAATCAACCATCGTTTCCCCGTCAAATTCCCCTAGCGAGTGAAGAGCGTCGTCCCGCTCCTCGCAACACCCATTCGGTTTCTGCGTACCGCCATCGCTGTCGCCGTTCACAAATGGAAACATGTCCTGTTCTTTTCTCAAAATGCATTGCGACGATCGCGCGGCACTAGCCTCATGCGTGTAGCGACTCCTGAACCCATCGTTGTGGGAAAGCTTCGCCCCAACATCGACTGGCTGGTCCTGATTTCTTCCAGATGAAAGGAATGCCACTGGCGTGGAACTGAAGGAGTCCCTTTTACCTTGAAAAGCCCCTTCACCTGATGCACAAGGCTGCGCCACACATTTGTGGCTCAAATAATCATCCCCAATGCGATTACTTCTCATGTCATTCTCCTTGTCATTGTACAGAATAGAGGCACCACCCCTTACGTCTTTTCCTTCCTCTGTTCGCACTGGCAGGGGAGATGCGTAGTGCAGCAGAGCCTCCACGGCAGCCGGACGAAAAATCGGGGGAGGGAGTTTTTGCATCGACGACTTTGAAGGACGCTGCTGAACATGTCTCGCCCCTTTCACGCCTTGGATGTCTGATCCGTCCTGTCTTTGAAGCGACTCTTGAAAACGGCGGACCATCGCACTCAACCTGTTTCCCGCCTCTGAAAACTGTGACCGCATGGCAAAATGCGCACGAATCTCATCAAAGGCTTCCTTCGCGTCCATGACCTCATCCGCCTTGTCTCCCCTGCAGCGGACATGAGCAATTAGGAGCATTTAGTAATATTAAAAATAAATAAATAAATATTAAGAAACACGGAAAAAATACACTCATTTGACGTCGATGCATGTGTTTTTGCGCATTTTCCACAAGAATAAATTAAGACTGTTCTACACAGACACGTGGGCCATCAAAACATTGCTGTTCAGCACCCACCAGCAAAAATAATATAATAATAATAGAATAATAATAATAGAATAATGACATCAACAACGCTAATCAAGCGCCCGAATGAAATAAGCACCTCAAAGAGACGGTGCATGCCCGGATTCACATGCATTCAGCACCTCTTCGGCCAACTCAAACTCTTCCAGCGTGACGGGTAACAACATATCGCTTATCGCATTTAGACTTGCAGGAATCGGTAAGGTTGAGTTGCGGTCGCCACTGCGGCCAGTCCTCTCCTTGTCCTCTTGCAACCCACTTTCATCAACCAAGAAATAGCCATCGTGTGTAAGCGCGTGGTGAAGAGCCACAGGTCGCACGGGCACTGAGGGCAATGCATCCCAAGACATCACAGGGGAATGTTCCTAAAAAACAAAAACAAACTACCAGACATATTGCAATGCATAACGTGACGACGGTGAAGAAAACAAAACACAAGCAGAAAAAAAAAAAGGAAAGAGAGAAGAAAAAGAGAAGTTGTATCCAACAAAATCAAAAAAATAATAAAATAAAATAGTCCCAAAATAAACAAATGGGTAGGCGTGTGCATATCCACTTAACTCTTTCTGGAAGCACATTTATCAACTGCCCCCCATTTCTGTTCTTCATACCCTCCTCTTCCTCGTTATATAGGCACTTCATATTTTAAGACTCTATGGTATTTCTGTTCACTCTCTTGGTGGCTAATAAAATCACTATTTGTGAAGACACAAGAGGTCGACGCCTTTTCTTTCTTTCTCAATTTTACTTTCTTGAGAGGCTCTTTGTAGGGGGGTGGGTAAATAATTAAAAAGAAGACAAGACATATATCTTTAAGGAGGCGTCAAAAAGGGTATCCGCGAAGGTCCATTGTCAGGATGGAAGAGGTTTCCTTCTGTTTGTTCTTCAGCACCCCAACAAGCAAATCTGCAACGTGATAGAGCTGGTCCTTCAGCGAGATGACGATAAACTGTGTCGTGTTGCAATTCTTCCGCATGTAGTTGGCCAACTTCTCGACATTTCCAGCATCCAAAGCGGCATCAACTTCATCCAAAACAAAAAATGGTGTTGGTGAAACTGCATGAACGGCAAACAAGAGTGCGAGAGCTGCCATGGTGCGTTCCCCACCGGAAAGGAGCTCCATTGGCATGTATCGCTTTAGTGGTGGTGTCGCGTGGTACCTCGTCCCCGCCAGGTACGGCTCCTCCACATCCTCCAGACTCAAGTACGCGGAACCGTGTACAGCGTGCGCGCGAGTACTCAGGGTGAGCTCGCGGTATACACGGTCCACATTTTCCGCAATTTTTTCAAACGTTTCCATGAAACGCTGTGTGCGGAGCTCCTTGACCTTCGAAAACTCCGAGTACGCCTTGCTGACCTTTTCACGTGCTTCCTCAAGATGAGCGGAGGAAGAGCCCAACCTATCCTCTGATCCAGCAAACCGCGATGCCGCCTTCAGGTTGGGAGCAAGAGACTCGGCAGCGCGCTGTAAGTTTTCCAGTAGGGTTTCTGTGCGTTGCTTGTAAGCCGCAAGGTGTGTCCTGTCAGATGCCGCCTCCTTTAGAGGCTCTGGAAGGTCTGAGAAGTCCACCACGACCTGTGCCTCCCTTGTAGCCGCGGACCGCTGAGATTGAGAGGGTTGAGATTGTTTGGTTGGCGCAGCAGCTGGAGCGTCCTCCGGCAAGACAAATGGCTCACTCTGAGTCAAAGCGCCGCTCTCTGCCGCCCGTGACCGTTTGACACCGCGGGCCTCAACGGGTTTGAGCGGCAACATAATTTCTTCCATCTGACATCGCCGCAAAATGTTCATGCGCTGCAGGCGAAGTGTATCGCAAGCGGCTTGAAGAGCCGTAACCCCTCTTCGCGCCTGTGCCAACTTGCCAAGTTCTTGTTCGGAGGTACGACTTTGTTGACGAATATCGGCCTCTAACGAGTCGAGCTGCACTTTTGCCTCACTGACGCTATCTCGTGACTGACTCTGCTTCTTTTCTGCGGTCTTTACAATTTCGCTGTATGCTGCCAGGTCCTGTTCGCATCGCTGAATTTCTTCTTCAAGACGCACACAAGCCCCTCGGAGATCGTCGATGGACTGCATGCCGATTCGCTTATGCTCTGCCTCCAAAGAAATTTCCAACTTGTGAACCAGCAGCTGCATCTGCTGCCGTTTTTCTGCCCTTTCCCTCAATATTTGGGCCTCATGACTCTCAAGCTCCAATATATTTGGAATGTTTACCCTTCGCTGAAATTCAGAAAAGATGCGTTCTTCTACCTGCATGATAGACCCGTGCTTCTCTTGCAATTCATGCAGACATCGTCTAAGCTCGGATTCATAAGTGGAGTGACGTTTTTCAATCGCACGCTCCTCATTTTCCTGATTTTTCATCTCTCGGTTCATGTTGGAAACTTTCTGCTCTGTTGCCTGCAACTCTGCCGCAATCACTTTGATGCGACCATGTGTAAACTCCAATCGTGCCTCCATGTCGCGGAGTTCGCATTGCGTCCGTGCCATTTCTGCCTCAGATCCCCCGGCCGCATCATTAAGCAACCGATCCCGTGCCGCACGCAGATCCTCATACTTTTTCTCGTCCCACTTTCGTGCACGGGACTGGATCGACGCAAGACCTCCCTGAACCGCACCATTCCGCATAAGAACAGAACCGTCCACAGTCACCACCTTAAAGCGCTCCCCATCCTCGCTGCCGTATGCAACATGTTTCGCCTCCGCCATTCCATTGCACACAAGTGTCTGTCCCAATGCATACTGCACTGCTGTCTCAATTGCCGTGTCATAACGAATCACATCCACTACAGGCTTACAGGTCCCACCAAACGTCCTCAGGCGGTCATTCACCTCCTTACCCTTCACCGAATCCAGAGGAAGAAACGTCATGGGTGGCAGGCGCTGCTCCTTTAGATACCGCACACAGGAAATGGCCGTTTCCGTGGTATCCACAACAACCGCTTCAAGGTTCTTGCCCAAAGCCACCGTCACCGCATGTCGATATTTATCATTGGGAATAGTGCAAAGATCCACGAGGCGTCCACGAACGCCATAAAGAGCACGTAACGCCTGCAATGCCCCGGCCATTCTCGACCCATGTTTGTCGTTTTCCTTCATAAAACGAAGTTCATGCAGCTGCTCCTGAATCCTCGCCAGCTCCACCTCCCGTTCTCTATTCCTTTTCTCTTTCTGGGAAAGGTCCGCCCGTTTTTGACTTATGTTGCTTGTAAGCTCCTGAACCGTGTCCTGAAGATCGTTCATGCGGTTTTTTAGCTCAGCCACACGTTCGTTGCTTCGTTGCACTCCTTGTTGAAGTTCCTGTTTTTGAGACCTGACATTCTCAATGGCTATTGTGCATTGTTTCTGACCCTCGACCAATGAATGCTGTTGCCGCTTGATTCTCTCCATTTGTTGTCTTAGCACCACGGTTTCGCACTCCGCCTCTTTGCGAAGCTGACGATACTCTGACAGCTGCTCCGCAGTTAGCGACCCACTTAGTGTCATGTGCTCCTCGTCTTCCTTCTTGCACCGCTCATCAAATGCCATTAGAATTGCCTTCTGCTGCTGCAACTGTTCCTCAATGCGTTGAACCTCACGTGACTGAACTTTCTCTGTCTTCATCAAGTTGTCCAATCCGTGCCGTTTCACTTCATGTTGGCGTTTCAAATGGTTCAGCGAGACCTTAATGCGTTCCAGTGTGTTATGTTTCTCCCGCAGCGTATCCGCCTCTTTGCGGATCTTTTTAAGTTCCTCCAAGTACGTCTTGTGCTTTTCGGCATACTCACGCTTCATTTTACGTATGTCTTCATCCGAGGCGATACTCTTCTCAAGGGCTGTGAGTTTTTCAGTGAAGGTATGGAGCTCCTGTTTCTGCCGCTCCAGGTTAGACTCCACGTAAAACAGCTGCACCAACGCCTCATCACGCCGCTCCTCACCAATGCGCCTAAGAACTTCTTCGTACTTTTCCGCCTCCTTCTTGTGAAGTCGCATTTGATTAAGAGCCACCACCGCATCACGTTTTTCAGCAGAGGCCGTCGTCAACTCCTGGTTTGCCAATTCATGAGCCTTCTTGCAGCGATTGTACTCCTCCCTCAGTTCTGCACTCCCACTGACTTGTTCCAGCAGATCCGTGAGCTCCCGTGCCTTTTTCTGAGCGATCGCTTCCACTTCGTGTTGAAACACCAAAAAGTTATTCACCCGAGTCCCCACATTAAACTTCGACATTGCCGCCAAATACTTCCGGTCGTCCACGGGCTCGCCGTTAATCTTATGCGTAATCCTCCCTCGTTGGTCCACCGCTCGTGTGAAGGAGATCTCAGTATCCCGACCTTGCCCCGCAGCTGTTGTCGTTGCTGTTGCTGCTGGCGATATCGGTGTGGTGTGGCAGAAAACGGCGGTGACAGCACACTCCTTTCGCTGCGCGCCGCGGTGGATTAGGTCCGTTGCGTCCTTCCCGCGCAGCGTTGTCGTGGCACTGGGACTCAGCACGAAGCACAGCGCATCCATGAGGTTTGATTTGCCGGCGCCATTAGGCCCGACGATGCACGTGAAGTCCTTCAGGGGCCCGATTGTCACATTGCCGGCGTAACTCTTGAAGTTGTACAACTCCACGCGGTCAATATGCGAGAGCATCCGACACGGAACGACACGCAATTTAGTTGATATTCCCTTTTCCTTCCTTTTCTTTCCTAACAAGGATGAGACAGCACGAAACAAAAAAAAATGAGATAAAAAGTTAATATTCCCAAAAATGCAAAAAAGAAAAAAAAATATATGAAACCTGACAACCGAGAAAGAGAGGGGGTGCGTGCGCACCCATAAATGTCACAATTACTTTAATGAACAACTTAGACAAGGGGCTCCCATTCGTTCTTGACCTTGTTATTCGATTACACGCAGCACGGCATCTGTGCCAATAATCTCCTTAACAATACGCAGGCACTGTCTGCCGTGACCGCCACACATGTATTTATAAATAAATACAAATATATATTTTGAGGAAAAAAAAACAAAAAGGGGAGGAAAAAAAAGAAAAACGCAAACATCTGGGCGTGATGTTCCTTCATTCTCCTTCATTGCTTTCCTTTTCTCCTCCAGAATGCTTCCTTCCTTCCTTCCCTTCTTTTTTTGCCTCACAAAGCATCAAAACGTGTCATTCACGCGATTCATTACGGCGCGCAAGCGGGTGTACACCTTTGCGGCTGGGCTTCCACGGATCAAATCGCAAAGGGCATCCCTTGCCACCCGAATGTTCTGCGTTGTTCCCATCAACCAAATGTGCGTGTCGGCAATGACGATCCGCGTCCGTGTCACATTTTCAATGGTGTACTTCGTTTTTCCGTGGGATCCGCTCATCCGCCCAATGCAACGGGAGAGGTTATCGCCATGCAAGTTGGCTCGCACATCCTTCACTTCAAAGCCCTCAATGTACACATCGTCCATACGCAACAAGGCAATGGCATCCTTCACTTCAAATCCTGCAACGACCGCCTTGACAAAATCTTCTGCCTTTTGAAGGAGCACTTTGCTGCTGTCTCCACCGTGTCCTGCAGCCTCCATGGTGGCTGGGCAGGTCCGCAGCTCAACGCACCGAGATTTTAAATTCATGCGGATTTCCAGTTTGCACTGCTCGACAATGGGGGTGTAGACCTCTAACCACACCTTCTTTAGGGGAGGAAAACGGTGGTGGGGAACCTTGACGCTACGCGTCTCACGAACAAACGCGCTGGCACTCTTCTCTTTCCCGGCACCCGGAGCACTAACGACGTTGGAGGACATCTTTGCCAAAGCGCCTTTTTTCCCCCTTTTTCCCTACAAAAGTATATATGCCTGGAAAGAAAAGTAACAATGCAAAAAAAAAAACAAAAACATTACAACCAATAAGGAAAAAGAACAAAACCAATGGCAACAACAGCAAACGAAATATATATATCATGGCTATCTTTTTTTCTGTCGGGAGAAACACCCACAAAAAACTAAAAATAGCAACAACAACAACAACAACAACAACAACGAAATAAAAGAACCCAATAGACACGAAAATTCACAGAAGCAATCTAACATCCAAAATAAGCATATGGGAAACAAAAAGAGGCAAAAAAAAAAAAAAATCACGTTCCATCTCAAATTCATGCGTCCACTCATCATAAAATCCAAAACCGAGTAATTTTCGCACCTTTCACTCGGGCTGACCCCGCAAAATCAGCTTCAGTCCAGTGCCAAACGAGCCATTTTATTGTTGTCAATTTCACTCTCGATATCACTGGAGGGTGCAGGGACGTATTGCATGGATTGCTCATCCTTCTTTGCTTCTTCATTGTCTTCTGAGACGTATGAGTCCGACGGAGTAGGGGTTTGGGAAAAATCTCCTGATCCACGGGTAAATTGCATGGATATTCCCTGCTCTCCATAAATTTCGGTCACCTTTGAACTGTCAGGAGCGTCTGGACGTTTTGCCTGCTGTGTAGCCGGAAGACGATCCGAGGACTGCGCTGGAGGGTCCTCTATATTTTCCATGGCACGCCGTACTACCCCCGGGGAGGACAACGCATGAGAGTGGTGAGGAAACTGCTGAGCTCCCATTGGCTGTTGTTGTTGAATTGGGTCATCATTCGTCCATTGAGCCCTCCGTGACAGGGCAGAGGATGGTGACTGAGCCAACAACCTTGGTTTTGGCTCCCTGAGCCCCATGGGCGAATTGTCGTTCGTTCCCATCGTTGGAGTCGCATCATGCGAACTGTGCGCCGCCATCATTTGTTTTTGCTGTTCACGGTATTGCTGGTTTCTTTGCATCAAAAACTGTTGCTGCTGGTACTCTC